ATTTTATAGTTGGGAAAACAAACTGCTATTTGATTTTGGACTTTAAGCTACAAACAATAGCCAAAAAGATACATTTCAAAGCAAATAAAATGTTTCTACATTAAATAATAATAAATCTGTTGAACAAATGTTAACACCTGTGTAAAACAGTCAATTATCTGATTATGGGATTAACATTTGTTTCGTCTTCCAAACATCTGACATCAAAACACTTTATGGTCTAGAGAAATCAAGTAGTAATAGCTCAATGACTTTGAATATAGATTAAACAAATATGTTCTGATCGCCTGTGATTGTCACTTTGCAGCATTTCACTATCAGTGAAGAAAGAAATGACTTGAAACCCAAAACGTGTTCATGCTGCAACTAGTTGGGTTGAGATATAGAGCTGAAGCTAGAAAAGCATAATTTTTGCGTCCATCTTACCGACACATTTCTCAGCTAGCTCATCTATGAAGGGTTCAGCTAGCTTGGGGCTCCAGTCCCTGGTGTGGATTTCTAGAATGTGCTTTCGAGCCTGTTGATGAGCGTAAACACAAACACAGACAGTGTACAGATAAAACAAGGCACATCAAAATGCACCGCAAAACTGTTTTGATCATAAACACTTAACAAAGGGTCTGGTGAAAACATAAGAGCTAACGTTTGATTAGCCAGCACCCTTCTGTGAAGACAAACTGCATACACATCTAGAAATCAGACCAGCACAGAGCTGACCTCATATCACAACAACTTCAAAAACAAAGCTCAGGCATAGATGATGCACACAGTATAAGGGTGTAGATTAGGGTTGTGACGGTGAGGAAATTTTCCCACCAGTTAATCGACGTGTGACAACACCGGTAATACCGGTATCACTGCGGGGGCAGGGGCGTTCCTCTTTTCCTCGCTTTCCTTCGCTTTTAAATAGCTTGCAAAGCGGCGTGCACATTTTACTTTCACTTTCAAATAGCGGCAATTTGACGTAAAGCAATTGTTCGTTTGAATTTTTCCTCGCCTTCCTTCACTTTTAAATAGCTTAAAAGCGCCGTGCGCTTTCGAATTTCGAATTAGCGGCAATTCTGCGTCAATTGCTTGAATGCAACAACAAAATACAACGTCAAACTCACTTTAGCCTATATATAAAACATATAACTTTTATTAACAAAACAAATATAAATAAACCATGCTATAGGGCAGGCTATGCCTAATATAAAATAACAAATAACTTTTACATAAAGTATAAATAGGTAGCCTATACAAAACTGGAAATAAGTAAACGTATAATATATAACCAAATAAATAAGGAACGTAGAAAGTTTATTAACAAAATGAATAAGAAAGCTTGGAGGCATGGCATACACCTTGATGTCAAATAAAATAAATAAATCACACAAAGTTTAAAAGTAAAAATCCAGTGCGTTGTGATTGGCCTAATACCTCAAGTGTGTGACGGAAATGTTACGCCCCTTACCATACTGTGATGCCATGTCCTGGCCAGAGCGACGAAACAAAAATATTAAAACCCATTATAAACGAGGCATTTGTTGCATCCAGTGGGGACATAATTATGGATTATAATGACTTATACGGTCTTTTTACCTTTTACTTTTTAAACATAAAACCATGTCTGCATTTGTGATCTGAGAAATGACAAACAACAAGTGCTACTCTACACTGCCCAAAAAACTCGCGTTTGAATCATCAGTGGCACATTCTTTAAATATAAAAAAAAACGTACTTACAGTCTGTGAGTCAGAAAAGCCGGCATTGTAGTCTACTCTACCAGGATCAGGAAACAGTCCTCCATAAAATGCGCTGCACACATCTGAATATTTGAGTTGAACTGTTCTGGAACAGTGTTGTAAATACAACTTAACCACTGATTTCTAGTCGTGTCCTCTTTTGGAAGACCAAACAAAGTAGTTTCGCTTTCACAATGAAACACACGGCGGGCTAGAGTGAGCGGAGGCCGGAGGCCTAGAGTGAGAACGGTGCAGCCGGCGGATTCGACGAAGGAGCGTCCGGAGGGCTTGCGGCAACCACATGTGACGACCCCGAGCTGGACTCCGCTTCGTCCATAGTGAAAGCCGATCCGGCGATCCACAGTGTGAAGTTGATGTATTTCCTCAGCGACCAGCACGGATCAGCTCCAGGCATGACGAAGCGGATATCGTCCTCTTTTGGAAGGCCAAACAAAGTAGTTTCGCTTTCACAACAAAACACAGTGCCTTCACGACATGGGATCAACAACAATACTACAGCGAGAATAAAAGTTACACCTTCCAATTCCAAGGAGATTGTCAAATTTGGGGCAAGTAACCAAGATTAATGGTCAAAGACACAGCAAGTCATGACCATCACATGAGGAAAATCACTAGTAAAAACTGCGTTAAGTGGTTTCCCCCACCTAGTTAAATAACTTAAGTTAAATAATACAGCCATGAATGAGCGCATGCTGGAAATAAAAGTGCTGAATTTAATTCTCTCTCTGTTGTATATTTGCTCATCATTAGTCTCGCGAAGCCACTTTTATATTGCTGTTCACTCACCGGGTTGATGCGGTTGATGCTCAGGAAATGCTCCAGCAAGACCACCGCATGTAACTTTTAACAAGATTCACTTGTTTAAAACACCCAAAATTGTATTAACATTTACTATATAACCATTATTTCGCTAATAAACATCCAAATAAATACAACTATATGGAAATTAATTATTTATTATCTCCGCGAGCGATTGCAGTTTGAGTATAGTTCTGTGTAACTGCATAGATAAACTGCGCTGTCAGCAGGCCTTTCATAATCTAGAAGGACAAAAAACATTATTAATAACTCTAAAATAACATTCCAGTTGAGAAATGCAATAAAATACGATGTTCTGTTTGTTATATTCCAATATTCCAGAGAATATTATTCAGTGAATTATTCTCGACTCTGTAGCTAATAAACAGCTTATAAACCTACTAAAACTGTAGTTTAAGTTGATATGACTCCTGTCCTTTATTAATTTTCTCCATTTGAAAAAATTAGACATTCTACATTTATTTTGCTTATTGTTAATATTAGTGTTGTTGCTGTTGATGCTTAATAAATAAAATGTTTTTTATTGTTGTAATATAAAGATTACATTTAACATGAAAGACTGCTAATTTTCAACACTTAAAAAAATAGATGACTAAAAAGAGGAAAAATCAAAGTGAAGTATGTTCTTACTTCACCCAGTCATTTATTTACTTTATAACAGTAAATAAATATTGGTTCTGCATATCGGGCACATAAACATGCAAATAATTGGTATCGGTTATAAAATATCAATATCGGTCGATCACTAATCCTTATGTTCACAGAAACTGTCTTTTACAGATGTAGATGCACCCAAAATTAACTCAAAGAGACTTATAAACGAATATCAGTCCATTGCTTAACTCCATATCATGTGTGTAACCCACACATTTGACTATCATGTTCTAATCACTTACTTGTCTTTTTAATAACTATTGAATAGCTCAAGGGTTCATATTCATGTTTAGTATGTGTGTGTTTGAATCTTCTTGCTTGAAACGTTTCTTCCAATCAATTCTTCGTCAAATGTATCATTCTTGTTATAGAAATCATGTCCAAAATTATACTCTGCAAGAGCGGGAAAATTCGGACCATGTGACTGATAAGATCACATGTTGATTTATGAATTGTGAGGAGAAACATACAACACCCCGAGCAAAGACAATATATAATTGGCCAAGGCACAATTTGGGATGTGGCCAACAACCCGGTTTAAATACTCAGGACACCATCAAATTATGCTTTTTAGTCATGTTTTTTTTAGCTTTTGCTTTTCAGCCACTGCTTTTTAGTCATGGCTTTTTACCATTACTTTTGCGTTCTTCGAGCGCCGTTCCAGCGTGCTTCGGCAAATTGTATTAACATTTACTATATAACCATTATTTCGCTAATAAACATCCAAATAAATACAACTATATGGAAATTAATTATTTATCTCCGCGAGCGATTGCAGTTTGAGTATAGTTCTGTGTAACTGCATAGATAAACTGCGCTGTCAGCAGGCCTTTCATAATCTAGAAGGACAAAAACATTATTAATAACTCTGAAATAACATTCCAGTTGAGAAATGCAATAAAATACGATGTTCTGTTTGTTATATTCCAATATTCCAGAGAATATTATTCAGTGAATTATTCTCGACTCTGTAGCTAATAAACAGCTTATAAACCTACTAAAACTGTAGTTTAAGTTGATATGACTCCTGTCCTTTATTAATTTTCTCCATTTGAAAAAATTAGACATTCTACATTTATTTTGCTTATTGTTAATATTAGTGTTGTTGCTGTTGATGCTTAATAAATAAAATGTTTTTTATTGTTGTAATATAAAGATTACATTTAACATGAAAGACTGCTAATTTTCAACACTTAAAAAAATAGATGACTAAAAAGAGGAAAAATCAAAGTGAAGTATGTTCTTACTTCACCCAGTCATTTATTTACTTTATAACAGTAAATAAATATTGGTTCTGCATATCGGGCACATAAACATGCAAATAATTGGTATCGGTTATAAAATATCAATATCGGTCGATCACTAATCCTTATGTTCACAGAAACTGTCTTTTACAGATGTAGATGCACCCAAAATTAACTCAAAGAGACTTATAAACGAATATGTCCATTGCTTAACTCCATATCATGTGTGTAACCCACACATTTGACTATCATGTTCTAATCACTTACTTGTCTTTTTAATAACTATTGAATAGCTCAAGGGTTCATATTCATGTTTAGTATGTGTGTGTTTGAATCTTCTTGCTTGAAACGTTTCTTCCAATCAATTCTTCGTCAAATGTATCATTCTTGTTATAGAAATCATGTCCAAAATTATACTCTGCAAGAGCGGGAAAATTCGGACCATGTGACTGATAAGATCACATGTTGATTTATGAATTGTGAGGAGAAACATACAACACCCCGAGCAAAGACAATATATAATTGGCCAAGGCACAATTTGGGATGTGGCCAACAACCCGGTTTAAATACTCAGGACACCATCAAATTATGCTTTTTAGTCATGTTTTTTTTAGCTTTTGCTTTTCAGCCACTGCTTTTTAGTCATGGCTTTTTACCATTACTTTTGCGTTCTTCGAGCGCCGTTCCAGCGTGCTTCGGCCTGCACGCCCGCTGCTACTTAGCCACGATGAGAAGAAAACCATCTGGTCTCGTTACTTCTATTCTTCTACTTTAATTTATTTTATTTTCCGTTGAGAGTTTCGTGTTCTGAGTTAAGTTTTGCCACAACTCCGTGTTTCCGAGTTCACCTCGAGTCTGTGACCGACCGCTTCAAAACTTCAACCAGCCCACAACTCCGCATCTTCAGCCAACGCCCAACCATTGGCTTGCCAAGACCTCACTTCAGCGTCTACTGAACTTCCAGCCAATCAGCAACCTCGGGAAACCCCTTTCGGCAACCAGACAATGAAGGGAACCCCTTACACAGGCAACGCAAGTACCTCCAGATTCTAGCTGAACTGGTGCATTTAATATAATTTTAACCTCATTGAGGAACTCAATGCGAGGGTTAATTAAGTGATTGATGGTTGTTCATGTCTATGCAATTTCACATATTGCTATAAACTTGGGATTTCACATTTTCATTCTCTTAAACTTATTCTTTCCTTACTTTTTCTCTTTCTGCAACTTGTGTGAATGTGTGTTCGTGTGTTAGATTAGTTTATATGTCTTAGATTTATCTAATAAAGCCTTATTTATATTGAAAAGAGAAGTATCTTGTGTTTTGTGCTTACAAGTTAATGTCTTAAACTGCCGATCTTGTTACTGTGCTAATAAATAGTGTTTTCACTATACTTTGGATATTAATATCCATTGCAGAATTTATGTTATATGGCTCGTTCAATGAATCGCTGGCCGACTCAGTGATGAGCCGTAAAACCGTGATTCTGTCCAAATTCCCTATAAAATCTTAAATGATTCCCTTTGAGCTAAATTGACCTGTTTCCCTTACATAGGCGTGGTTGACTCTTAACTTTTATAAAGAATATCTCTTTGGATTTGAGACTTTAGTCTTTGCAACTTTACAGATCTTCTTTATGCACCAAGAGCTTGTAACACTCCAACGATAAAGGAAAAATTGAAATCGCATCATATGACCCCTTTAAAAGTACTGCTATATGAACAAAAGTGCAATAACATTTGTTTTGCAAACACTTTAAACAAATAAATAAGGTGCTTTTTTCCAGCAGTATTCATTCTACATAAAAATATTTTTACAATAAAATTTTTATTGTTAATCTCAACTTATAACATTAATGTAATCAAATGAAATCTGAAACAAGCTATTTACCACTGCCAGGGCATTAACATTTTTATAGAAAATATTTTATAGTTTGTTAAAGAAAAACAAGTTATGCTTAAGAGTCCAGAGCCTCGATCATAACATTATAACTTGCACCTCAGAGACCAGCACGATCGCGGGACCCAACGCAACAGAGTGTGGCACGGGCCAACACTTGATGGGTGAATTGCAGGCGGGTAGAGACTCGTGTGTCCGGGATGCGGGAGAATAAGGGTGTACTCGAACTAGGCAATCTTAACCGTGCCCGAGCACGTTTGACCCCCAAAGCCCGATTCGTTTGACTAGTGTGATTGCTCCGTGCCGCGCTCGGGCGAGGTTTGTTTAGCTGTCCCTGGCTCGGTTGGAGGTTGGCCAGAGCACGGTTCAGTTATATACAGATCAGTGAGTGTGAGCGCTAACCGTGCCAGAGCGCAAAACTTAAGATACGTGCTTGCGTGAACATTTCTGAGCAGCAAGAGTGATAGATCTGTAAAGCAATATATTGTGAGAGGGCCCTGTGTTACCGCGTCCCAAATGACTCAAAATAATAAACCACAAAGTTAACAAAAAGGCACTCCACTGTGCTGAGCAAGAGCGCTTCTCTGCTGTCTTCACGTGCTATCGGAAACTTTCTATTTCCCACTTATGAAGTCGTGATTACGAGCACATTGCATTCTTTTCTGTTAAAAATAACAGTGAACAGTGGTTGGTTTGTGAATGTTGATGCTTAGCCCAAATTATTTTATCAGGAGCGTTAATGTGAGCGCTGCTGCAGTCTTAGGCCCACCCCAAATGCTCTCATTGGTTGAGACGCGTGATGACACCCATCCCAAGCCAGTACTGATCAACATCCCACCCCACCTGTGACCCATGGTTTGTCTGTATGTGTATTCAGAGCCAGTGAGCAACGGACTTTCATAATAAAAAACTGCATTAATGCGCAATAAATTTAGTATTTTCTCATAACACATTAAATTATAAAAAACCGTTTATGAGGACTGAAACCATTAGTGAAAATGTATTGTATCTTTCCAATTAAATGTTTTTTTTAAACATTACATGTTGTAAATTTTGAAAAACGAACCAAACCCTAAAACATTTTTATTTTCATGGTTTTAATTACAATCTTAAATCTCAGATTTTTTAAGTCTAAAACTTTTGGACCCCACTGTATAAAATACAACTACTCATAGTAATTCAACCAAATATTCTTGTGATCACTGTTTTCAACTCGTTTCTGGTGTCATTGGGATTTAGAATACACTGATCTGTTTAAATGCTGTTTAATGTCCTCACTTTATTTGAAATCTAATTTTTGTGCTCAGTACTGCTCTGACCCATATTTCCTTCAATGACTAGTTAGCCTCTACTTATTTGTAGTTTGAAGTGCTCGATACTTAGTACAACTTTATACATACAATTTTCAAGTTACTCATAGGTAACGTTTAAGTCTTTAACTCTAGCAGGAAAGCTTTGATATCAGCCGAGATCGGCATACTAAACTAATCTCATCAAAATTAACTGGCATTCCGTTTGTCAAGATGTCAACGACCTTGGCAAACACAATCTGTGAGATTATCACTGATAAAAGACTAATTTTAGCAGCCAAACCAGCTGCAAAAGACTTGAAACTGAGCTGTCAGACAATTCCAGGATAAGTGTTTTGAGTGAGGGACACGAGGACGCTCTGGGACACCGAATGTCAGTTGGCTGCAAAATACCTTGTAGAAGTTAAAAAGGATTTGCGCACCTTTTTATCTGGCAGGTTGAACAGAAACTCCCGGTCAAAGCGCCCGGGCCTCCTGAGTGCGGGGTCGATAGAGTCGAGTCTATTTGTAGCACCGATGACCACTATCTCCCCCCGGCTGTCCAAACCATCCATCAATGCCAGTAATGTAGACACTATGGAGCTAAAACACAAAAAGAGAAAACAAAATGACTAACCTCGTCAAATGTAAAATGAATAGGTGTTGACGTGTGAATGTGGGTAGTACATCAAACTCTTTAAAGGAGCAAGAAAAATCTTGTTTTCCATCATATACTCCTTGTAATACCAAAAGCCTTTGTGTGGAAATCCTATCGAACTACTTGATTTCTTCAGGAGCTTTTCTAATCCTGATGATGTAACCTTCTGCAATCCCCACCGCATTAATTCGAATGCATTACCTGTGTATTTGATCCTGCCTGCTGGAGCGAACAGGAGCGAGGCCATCAATCTCATCGAAAAAGATGATGGAGGGTCTCATGAGGTATGCCTGAAAGGGCGAGAGGAAAACATCACCTGGCTGGATAATCACACATCTAACACTTCAAAACAGCTGGAGAGAGAACACAGCCCTCCATCAATGCCAGTAATGTAGACACTATGGAGCTAAAACACAAAAAGAGAAAACAAAATGACTAACCTCGTCAAATGTAAAATGAATAGGTGTTGACGTGTGAATGTGGGTAGTACATCAAACTCTTTAAAGGAGCAAGAAAAATCTTGTTTTCCATCATATACTCCTTGTAATACCAAAAGCCTTGGTGTGGAAATCATATCGAACTACTTGATTTCTTCAGGAGCTTTTCTAATCCTGATGATGTAACCTTCTGCAATCCCCACCGCATTAATTCGAATGCATTACCTGTGTATTTGATCCTGCCTGCTGGAGCGAACAGGAGCGAGGCCATCAATCTCATCGAAAAAGATGATGGAGGGTCTCATGAGGTATGCCTGAAAGGGCGAGAGGAAAACATCACCTGGCTGGATAATCACACATCTAACACTTCAAAACAGCTGGAGAGAGAACACAGCCTGACACCTGTTTTATAGGGATATATGATTCACTCCAACTCTAAAAAGACAACTTGTGATACACTACAAGAATCAACAAAGAGGAAAAAGAAGCTTTAAAGGACAAAAAAAATCTAAAAATATCTGACACTGTTTAAACAAAAGAGTACAAGTAGACAAAAGCAGATTTTTTTTCCTTTAAAAAATTGTAAAAGTTAGGTTTAGTTATGCTGCATAAGCTAAAAGAAGCTTTAAAGGACAAAAAAAATCTAAAAATATCTGACACCGTTTAAACAAAAGAGTACAAGTAGACAAAAGCAGATTTTTTTTCCTTTAAAAAATTGTAAAAGTTAGGTTTAGTTATGCTGCATAAGCTATGATAGATAGATAGACAGATAGACAGATAGATAGATAGATAATTTTTCACAATAAAATGTATTGAAATCGAAAATTAATCCTGGAACTTGTGATTATTGTAAGGTTATTCGATGACTTAATAAAAAACTTATTTGAAAAAAAAGCATGTATAGAAATCCACTCCTCAAATAAATATAAATTAAAATACATTTTATACTTTAAACTTTATAAATTAATTTTCAGTAGTGGAAAACTGAATATTTTCATGATTTATATTAGATTTTAAAGATTTTAGATACTAGATTTTCAATACAAGACTTTATTTAATAAGTATTTTTTGACTAATAATAATAATAATAATAATTATTATTATTATTATTATAATTATTATTATTATTATTATTATTATTATTATTATTATTATTATTATTATTATTATTATTATTATTATTAAGGCTTGTGCACACCGGGACGATTATCGCACGAGATTATCGCTGACGTTTTACGTCTCGTGGCTAAACAAAGGGCACCAATGTGAGTGTACACACCGACGCTCAAAACGCGAGGCGTAAAAGCGTAATTTTTTTTTTTTTTTTTTTAAACGCCTCTGGCTTGTTTTTTTGGTTTGACGCACTGCGTTAAAAACTGGCCGACCAATGAGATTGGAGCTTTTGTTCACGTGCCTAGAGCTGCTGCAGTTACAGTAAAACACGACTTGGTGGCGCTCAAGCACAAAACCGTCTTGCTGAGCACACATTGATACCTAACGATGAAGAGGAATTAAGTAGACTGCAGAAGATGCATCGAGGCAAGATGAGTGTAGAGCTGCTGGTCTCATTGGTGTCCGAACACAAAGGGCTTTATGACAAACGCGACAACGACAACAAAAATCTCAATAAGAGGGAGTTGTTATGGAGAGGAATTGCAGATCAAATAGGATTCAATGTGTACCAGGGTATTTCTGTTTTTCATTAAGCGCCATCTAATGTCAGGGAGTGAATTTGCACGTTCACTCGGCTCATCGCCAGGCGAAAATTGCTTGGGTATGAACACAAAAGACACGCCGAAAAACGTCTGCGATAAGCGTGCGCGATAATCATCCCGGTGTGCACAAGGTTTTATTATTATTGTTGATGTTATTGTTATTATTATATAAATGACAAAATTTAAAACTGCAACCTGCAAAGAACACTTAATTTAACATTTAAACATTTTCAAATCATTAACCCCAATTTTCTTTTACATAAAACAAACATCCAGGAATGTGCAATATCTGGTCATCAATAAGCTCACAGACAACAGAAACTCTCAAAGTCATACTAGAGCCGGGATTGTGAGGTCGTCTACTAGTTCACCTGGTCAAAAAGTAGGCGGAGCTGTCGTTCAGACTCTCCCACCCATTTGCTGAGGCAGTCGGCGCCCTTGCGCATGAAAAAAGACACCTTCCTGTCACCCTGACTGCATTCATTGGCCAAAGCTCGTGCCACCAGTGTCTTCCCAGTTCCTGGAGGCCCATAAAACAGACATCCTCTGCAAAGCGGGAAAAACATGTTATAAATATGTTAGTGTCAACCTCTGACAGCACGTCAACGGATGCAGATTTAAACACAAAACTAAAAAATAATCATATTCTCAAAAAACCTTACCTTGGGGGCTGGATCTTAAACTTCTCAAACACTTCTGGATATAATAAAGGAAAGACCACCATCTCTTTTAAAGACTGAATGTGATGGGAGAGACCTCCAACACTGTCAAACTTCACCTGCATTGAAAGAGACAAGGACATATGCTAACCCACAAAGCATCTTTTTCCTCATTGTAAATCAGTAAAGAAATGTAGAGAAGTATAAACACACTCAGACTCACAGAAGTGTCCAGATTCATGGGATCCACATCTGCCAAACTAGCACCCACTTTTACTCTGTCTCGAAGCACACCGCTGGCCAGATCCTCTGCCCGCAGGTTCATGGGTAGACACCTGTCACACAATAAAATAAAAAAAACAAAGCAACATCAAACCTTAGTAAAAGTTCACACACTTTAGCTATGTAATAAGTCACACATTGAGTGAATTAACAGTCGTTCTGTGTAATGACAGCTTTTATGTCACCTGTTACGAGCTCGGCTCATGCTTTTGCTTTTCCGCCTCTCAAAGCGCTCTTCATCAGACGATGATGTTGATTCACTACTGTGAATGGCATGTTTCTTTACTCTGGTGATGACACAGCAGATGACACAGTGAAACACAGCAGTGTTGTTTTAGTATCAATTAGATTCTATTATAGTTTTTATTAATAGTAATCATTTTGTATTAATATTTGATTAAAGGGGTCCTATTATGCTTTTTCACTTTTTCAACTTTAGTTGGTCTGTAATGTTGCTGTTTGAGCCTAAAAAAGATCTGCAAAGTTACAAAGCTCAAAGTCCACTTCAAAAGGAGATATATTATTTAACAGACATCACTTTTCAAAAACTACAACGAACGACTCGTTTGGACTACAACTCATATTTTCCGGGATTTGTGATATCACAAATATCTACGAATGGGATGAGACCTGGTTGAGCTGCACTAGAGAAGGCAACAAGTGTTATCATCACTATGTCGGAGACACACTAGCGTTTCCCAAGGCAGACGAACTTAGAGTGGTTACAATCATCCGGGTTTAAATCACGCTTAAATTGATTTGATTTTGATGCAATATTTACACTGAAGCTCGCAGGCTGCTATGGTAAGGGGCATGACATTTCCCGACCAGGCGCTGAGTGCTGCCAATCACAACACACACACACCAATCACAGCACATTTCGTATTTCAGAAGGCGGGCCTTCATTTGATTCAGGAACTATTCGAGCCGTTCATGCCAGATTGGGGAGAGAGGTGTTGTAATAATGTCAAATATGTGAAAAATAAGGTGTTTTTCGAACAACCTAGTATGAGAGCATGTTCTAGTACACCCCCAAAACAAAATCAAGACTTTGTAAAAGAGCTTAATAGGACCCCTTTAATATTTTGTGTTTAATTTTACATTTTGCTTTAATTTTAATTAAAATTTTTGTAGTTTTGCTGTGCGTTTTTGTCTTTTTTTTTTATATATGTCTATACAGTTCTATTATTTTTACTTTAGCATAAATTCTAGTTTTTAAATAGAAGAATTAATTTAAAGTTTAAAATTACTATTACTACTACTAATAAGAATGAGAAATGTTGTCTTTGCAACTAGCTAAAATTAATAAGTTACATTTTTAAATATATTATTTTGTTTCACTTAAAGGGTTAGTTCACCCAAAAATGAAAATTAGCCCATAAATTACTCACCCTCACGTCATCTAGGTGTAAATTACTTTCTTCTTTCAGACGAATCCAGTCAAGAGTTATATTAAAAATGGTCTTTGATCTTTCAAGCTGTTTAATGCCACTCAGCGGTTGTTGCATGCATCAGTCCAAAAGAAGTTAAATAAAAAGCGCCCATCTATTAATAAAAAGTGTCTCACACGTCTCTGGGGGGTGAACAAAGGCCTCCTGTAGCGAATCGATGCATTTTTGTAAGAAAAATATCCATATTATTATTATATACACCTAGGATGACTTGAGGGTGAGTAATTTATAGGCTAATTTTCATTTTTGGGTGAACTAACCCTTTAACTTTAATTTAATTTCCATTATTTCTTTTTTTATGGTTTTAGTTAACTATAACAACCCTGAAACAGAAAATATTGCCCTCCAAAAAAGGAAGTAGTAAGACATAAGAAAAGAAACTTCTGAAAATAACCATTATTCACCTAATATGGCTTCTTCTTGCAGGAGATCTGTGTGTGTCGAACAGAGAGCCCTTGCTCTGCTTCCTGTTCACTGGCTCTGAGAAAACAAATGAAACGCATTCAAAAGGCAAAATCATTCATTAAAATAGCCAATAATCGCATGGCATGGAAAAATCTGAGGGTCATAAGGATGTTTTAGGTGCTCAAGCAAGTGAGTATCAATGAAAACTGCCTGAGCATAGTCTGGAGAAAGTACCAATTGGGGGTGCTTCATATCGCTGCACAGTTTTACGCTGCCTGAGGTTATAAGGTCTGTCGTTCTCCTCTCCAGCCTCTTCTGCCTCATCTCCTTCATCGTCTTCATCATCATCAGCCTCCACATCTTCATCCTCCTCTCCCTCTTCGTGAGACTCTTTATAGAAAAAAAAAATAAAAATAAAAACAAAGAGAACTCTTTAGAACGAACAAACTAAACTTTTTCATCACTGTTGGAAATCAAAAAATGGCTTATATTTAGAACTTCTGCAATAGAAAAGCACTTTTACACAATTTTTCGTGGGACATATCACTTTCTTCACAAATGAAATATAATAATCTATTGCAAATGTTTATTATTTGATTGGTATTTTGATTATGTAAGTAATGTTGTTCAGTGACTTGGTTGCTTTATTTATGCATTGTTTTTTGTCAAGGCAATAGCTTTTATTTATATAAAAGAAAGTTGGCCATAGAAATGAATAGTTAATAAAGTTCAGAGATCAGTTCAAACTTTTCTGAAGTTAAGGTTTTAAAATAAAATCAGTTGTTCACTGTATGTGTTTGCCTTTTTGTTTTTGCAATCATGCTCAGAAAAATTAATATGTATATTTATCGGCCTATATATCGGCTATCGGCCTCCAAATATAAAGAGTTATCAGTTATCGGTATCGGCCAAAATTTCATTATCGGTGCATCCCTAGATAGAAGTACTCGCGCTGACACAATCTATAAAAACGGTGTCTGTTCCCCGAATAGTGAGGTCAAAATATAAATTTAATGCAGGATCTATAAAAAAATCTGATTGTGATTAAACCAGAAAAATGTAAAATAAATTAAAAACGATTTTTAAAGTTTGGGCTCCTAAACATTAGATCACTCGCACACAAAGCAGCTATTGTAAATGAAATGATCACAGATAATAGCTTTGATGTACTCGGCTTGACTGAAACCTGACTAAAACCAAATGATTATATTGGTCTAAATGAGTCTACTCCACCAAGCTACTGTTATAAGCATGAGCCCCGTCAGACTGGTCATGGCGGAGGTGTTACAACAATATATAGTGATATTCTCAATGTTACTTAATATTCTAAATATTCCCTCACAGTTTAATAGTAATGACTTTATGAATTTCTTCGGTGAGTGAAGCCGAGAGCAAGATATGCCTCATCATATTTTCTGCATTTAGCTTTTAAATGACCAGCACCTGCCTGGGTCTGTGCGACTTCATCTATGGCTTTTCTCTTCGCTTTCACAAACCGATCCATCTCCCATTCTAAGTTATGTCCTTTGGCTGTTTACTTATTTATTTTCTTTTTCTGCTGATGGCCATAATGTACTCGGGGCGGGCGGCATCGGATAGGGGGCCTCAGGGTCTATCTTCGACCCGAGTTTCGAGTTCCTAAGCAGCGCTGCTTAGACCGATGGGTGTGTGTCATCAAAGTACTGCGAGAGCTATAAGAGAGCGCGGACATCTCCTTATGCTTTCTCTCGCTCGCCGTACTTTGATGTCATACACCGATTGATCTTCAAGTCAAGCACACCTCTTTACTCTCGCGTGTCACAGCCTCTGCGATTGAAAAATCAATTTTTCATATTGCGATATTATCGCAAATGCAATTAATCATTCAGCCCTAATACTTATACCATCTAATCAATCTCAGCAATCTGAGCAATCTCAGGCCTGCGCTCTGGAAGTGATCTGTTAATTCTGCTCAAAAATAAAACTAAACTAAAACTAACAAAAATATTAATGAAACTAATAAAAACTAAACTGAATTTTATAGCAAATTTGAAAACGATATTAAAATAAAACGAATTTAAAAATTCTAAACTATAATAACCTTGACTGACAGTCACCACTGATAAGTTACCACTAAATATTGTATAAACTTAATTTGCTGTAAAGTTGCTTTGCAATGATTTGTATCGTGAAAAGCGCTGTACAAATAAACTTGAATTGAAAAACTTGAATTGAATTTGATACGCAAAACTATAAAGCCTCTAAATTATCAACGATCAAAACTTGAATGAAATACCTGTTGTACACAACTGTACACATGCCTTCTGTCCTCTGATTGATAGGCTATACTATAAAAGCATTTTAGATCTTTTAGTATAGTAGGTTTTTCTATGAAATCTTATGTAAGAACTTTTATATTGTTAGTAATATTTTAAAATGCAACTAGGATTTACTCGTCTATCCATACATCTTTTTCTTTTCTTTTTTTAATCTTGTAAAAATGTGAGTAACAAATATGATCCATCAGGCTTTTGAGGAATGTTTATTTGTCCATTTCTCAATCATCACTGTACTACATTTCATTATATGCTTGCCCCCCAAAATAAAATCTACAAAACTATAATAATAATAAAACTAAACATTTAAATATCATCTTACTAAAACATATTACTGGAAGATATAGAGTGACAACTAATATTTATAAGCATTTTATATACTGTTATAAAGATCTCACTGGCTACAATAAACAGTACCTCCAGGATTTCGCGGGACTTTTTTCAGATTTTTGCGGCCTAAATTGACTAATTTTGCTGCAGCTTTTCTCAATTTCCAGTGATATTTGCGGTATTTCTTAGTGTTTTGCAGTGAAAATATACCACAGACAATATTCTTCTAACATTTTTTTGACTTTGAGAACCATTGTAGAGCTCCAGCACCAGTGCCATTAAGTTCTACAGAAGGTGGCACCAGCAGCTGACAGTAAAGCACTCACCCTAATTGCACATGTACATCTCGGAGATGTATAATTGATGTCTGCATTTACATATGCAAGATGTATTTTTTAGAGTGTTTGCTCATCTGCAATACGTTTTTAAGACGTTTATCAGATTACACAGTAGATGTTTCCCAGATCTTTAGCAGACGCCTTACAGATGTACTTGTGCTGTCTGGGTAGTTGAGATGCAGAAAAAATTAACTTTTATTACCGTCATACAAAAATACTCTCATACAAATATATATATATATATTAGGGAGTGGAAATGACTAATAAGCCTATAAGTACTTCTCTGCAGCCATCTACTAGTGATAATTTAATGTATTTTTAAATAAGTGTTTGCTTTCATTATGAAACTTTTAGTTTTATAAATGGGGCAACCTATGAAGGATGAACAAATAATTAAATACTTAAAGCTTTGAAGTGCTGGGAAAGGTTGTGTCAGGCATTTAAAATCACTCGAAAACATTAGACCATTTCTGCCACAAGTTTTACTATGTTAAATCCATGGGGAATGAATGGTGGTGATTTGTGTTTGTTGAACAATGTTTTTCCTGGTTTCCACATCAGTGGCGTTTGTTCTGATATCTGTAGCTTTAACAGAATTCTGCGCCGAATTTGAATGCTTCTCACAAGATTTCACAGAGATGTTATTGATTCTGCGCCAAATTCAACTGCTTTCTTCACTGTATCTCCCATTACGAAAATTTTACGAGAGTTTGCTTGATTTTGCGATAAATTCAGCGATCACAGAATCGCAAAATCCTAGAGGGACTGAATAAAGCAATCAGAATTTTAAAATAAAATGCAAATACAGAATTTGAATATTAACAGCTGCTTCCTTAATCCTCTTCGTCCCAAGTGAGACATAATATTAGCAGCTGCACCAAACTGCATATAGTTGCTCAGATTGGGCTCTGAATAAAACTGAGGTGTTTTTTACCTTTTCATGCTTCATATTCTCTATATCATACTACAGGAGCCATAAAAGCTTGATGTATCAAATATGATACTCAACAAAAAAAAAAACATAGGCCTATGCAAATTTCTGACTAGCACTTCATACGTCAGGCTTCACGGGATTAATATGGAGGAGCGTCATTCAGAATGAGTAAAGCAGCTCAAGCCATTCATGTGCAACACCAGCAGGTCTCCTCTCTCCAATACACTTCCACCATCTGTCTTTGACTCGCAGCAACATGTTCTCACACACTAAAAACCTGATTAGGACACAACCGAGTAAATCAATCATTAAAAATTTTTTTCAAAATCAACCTCTTTTTAATTCACAGCCAATAGAATCATCATATATAAACATACATGATTATTTGAAAAGATGTATTTTGTTTTTTGAATACCCAATGCAAAGAATTGTCAATTAAATAAACTTTTGTAAACCCAGTCAATCTATTCAGAATGAAAGTGTCCAAGCTGGACAATATTGCGTAATAACTGCAAAATCTCTAATGTGTAGCAGAATCTCCTGCACAACCCACATATTTTTAAATGCTCATGACAAACATCACTACCTGCAATTCACAACATCTGTCAGCTGCCTGGTGTTTTTCCTTGATATTAGTTGAGCATTTATGAACTGTTCGATGCTCTCAACATTTTCTCCAATCCACTGTCAATCCCACAATCCACCATGCTCTCATAGGAATTAACTGAAAAATACTGCAACAGTGTAAACACACCATACATCTTCATCAATGTCAAACCACAAATGCGTGTTCACTCACACATTTTGACAGTTCTAGGGACAATAACAGAAACTTTCTTTAACAGCAAATGTATTATTAGTATAAAAGATCTCCAGATGAGCTGTTTAACATGCCACAGAAGCTCAACAAGTATGAAATATCACCCAAGAACTGATACAGGTCCTTAGTAAAAATGTTAACAAAGACTTACAGGTTTAACGAAGCGAGGTCTACATCTTTTCCAAGTACAGCCAGGACCTACTTAAGCACCCCTGGGATACGTGTAGCCTTGGCTAGGAATCACCAATTATATCATAAACCATTATGTGCATGAATGGAAGTTGAACAAATGCCGTCACCATGCATAGAGTAGTCTCTTGTAGTCTCTTTTAGTTCTTGCTGAGTTTAAAGTGTCAGTTTCTGCAAGAGTAAACTCTGTTGGCTTCATCAGATGTCTTACTAATTATACACCAGCTACTCAAAACCATGAGGGAATTATAACGTACGCATACAATGTCCAAACAGAACATGATTTGGATACTGTGGCTCCTAGTGGATTCATGGGGTTGAAAGCTAGTTGGTTTGAAGCCAAAGTCAATCCAAAGACATTTGATGCTCAAAATGCTTATAGACAGACTCTCTCAGACAACCAGGAGTTAAATCATTTGCCTAATGATTTGCTGACTGGTTGGGTCAAACAATGAATAGGTGTCTAGACTAGAGGTTGACCGATGTATCGGTTTTGCCGATTAATCGGCACTGATAGTTGATTGCTGGAACGATCGGTTATCGTCAAAAATCCATGCCGATAGTTTTCCCGGATTGCGTCCATTGCTGGAGCGGCTGAGAAGGGTCTGCTGTCATTATACAGTGCGAGAGTGGCCTCTAGAGGTTGAAATCATTTGCAAATACAGAATTTGAATATTAACAGCTGCTTCCTTAATCCTCTTCGTCCCAAGTGAGACATAATATTAGCAGCTGCACCAAACTGCATATAGTTGCTCAGATTGGGCTCTGAATAAAACTGAGGTGTTTTTTACCTTTTCATGCTTCATATTCTCTATATCATACTACAGGAGCCATAAAAGCTTGATGTATCAAATATGATACTCAACAAAAAAAAAAACATAGGCCTATGCAAATTTCTGACTAGCACTTCATACGTCAGGCTTCACGGGATTAATATGGAGGAGCGTCATTCAGAATGAGTAAAGCAGCTCAAGCCATTCATGTGCAACACCAGCAGGTCTCCTCTCTCCAATACACTTCCACCATCTGTCTTTGACTCGCAGCAACATGTTCTCACACACTAAAAACCTGATTAGGACACAACCGAGTAAATCAATCATTAAAAATTTATTTCAAAATCAACCTCTTTTTAATTCACAGCCAATAGAATCATCATATATAAACATACATGATTATTTGAAAAGATGTATTTTGTTTTTTGAATACCCAATGCAAAGAATTGTCAATTAAATAAACTTTTGTAAACCCAGCCAATCTATTCAGAATGAAAGTGTCCAAGCTGGACAATATTGCGTAATAACTGCAAAATCTCTAATGTGTAGCAGAATCTCCTGCACAACCCACATATTTTTAAATGCTCATGACAAACATCACTACCTGCAATTCACAACATCTGTCAGCTGCCTGGTGTTTTTCCTTGATATTAGTTGAGCATTTATGAACTGTTCGATGCTCTCAACATTTTCTCCAATCCACTGTCAATCCCACAATCCACCATGCTCTCATAGGAATTAACTGAAAAATACTGCAACAGTGTAAACACACCATACATCTTCATCAATGTCAAACCACAAATGCGTGTTCACTCACACATTTTGACAGTTCTAGGGACAATAACAGAAACTTTCTTTAACAGCAAATGTATTATTAGTATAAAAGATCTCCAGATGAGCTGTTTAACGGCTGAGAAGGGTCTGCTGTCATTATACAGTGCGAGAGACAGCATGTGCTATTTGTTTAGACGTGATACTGCACACTGAACAGAGCGGGACACTTCAGACGCGGATTTAAATGCATCCGACAGATGTTTTCCTTTAAATTACATTACATTGATCCCGAATCGTTGTTAATGTACATAATGAATTGTATATTGTGCATTTTCAGCAAAACGTTTGTCTTTCTGTGGCTCTAATAAAGTCTGTGTGCTTCATTTTTAGAGCTATAATATAGGTCACGCTTTCTCTTTCCGTTTGCTCCGTTTTTTAAATGCCGAACTTCAAAGTCATCTATACTAAATTGTTCATTCTTGAAGTAAACTTGTGTCTGTTTGGTGTTTAAATAAACTGTTTTAGACCGCTGCTTGAGTTGAACGCGATGCGTCCGGAGTGTGTGTGATACCGGTGAGTTCTCCTAGACTCAGCACTGCACTTTTATTTTGATTAGATAATCATCAAGTGTTCAAGAATAGAAGCAGTTCAAGTCTGAGAGTATGCATACAACATCCATATGTATATAAATTTAGATGTTTTCCTTTAAATTACATTACATTGATCCCGAATCGTTGTTAATGTACATAATGAATTGTATATTGTGCATTTTCAGCAAAACGTTTGTCTTTCTGTGGCTCTAATAAAGCCTGTGTGCTTTATTTATAGAGCTATAATATAGGTCGCGCTTTCTCTTTCCGTTTGCTTCAAACTTCAAACTCATCTATACCAAATTGTTCATTCTTGAAGTAAACTTGTGTCCGTTTGGTGATTAAATAAACTGTTTTAGACCGCTGCTCAAATTGAACGCGATGCGTCCGGTGTGTGTGATAATGGGGAGTTCTCCTAGACTCAGCACTGCACTTTTATTTTGATTAGATAATCATCAAGTGTTCAAGAATAGAAGCAGTTCAAGTCTGAGAGTATGCATACAACATCCATATGTATATAAGTTTAATGCTATAGCCTGTGTGTATATATTTAAAGATGTGCATCTTTAAGGATGACAGTTGAAATTAAATGGTAACACTTTAAAATAAGAGTTCATTTGTAGCATTAAGATCAATGAAAGCGGTGTAAGTATTGTTCCTTGTTAGAGTGTGTTAATTTCAACATTTACTATTATTATTTTTACTACTACTACTAGTATGGTTCAGTACTGGTTTTGTTAATAAAGCACTATTTTAGTTTTTGTTCCGTATCAATTTTAAAACAATCGGTTAATTAATCAGTATCGGCCAGTGTGGTCCAACCTAGCTATTGGTATCGGCAATATCCACTATCGGTCGACCTCTAGTCTAGACTCGGGATGCTCCGATCTGCCTTTTTCGCCTCCAATACCTAGGGTTCGGTATTGGCCGATACCGATTCGATACCAGTGAAGTCCCACCCATTTAAGTAAATGTAGAATTTATATATCTGTGTGTGGAACTGATAATCATTCTTTCACAATCTACTAGATACAGACTACTAAATTATAAAGAAAAATAAAATAAACAATAAATATGAAAAAATATAGGCCTAAGTATATTTATAAATCTATGACAAAACTTTATCATAAACTAGGTTAGTGGATAATTCGGCAGCAAATGTTATTCTAGAAAAATCAGTGCACAATAATTTTAGAAATCCAAATAATTAGTGAAAAAACTGTTTTGTGGGGAACAAATAAAAATGCTGCACTAAATATGGTAAAATGTTACACATTGCCATGTGTATTAATTATAAAATCCATTCATTAAAAACATTCATGAATGTATTTATATACAAGTATATGCTATTAATCTGTGTGTGGAACTGATAATCATTCTTTCACAATCTACTAGATACAGACTACTAAATTATAAAGAAAAATAAAATAAACAATAAATATGAAAAAATATAGGCCTAAGTATATTTATAAATCTATGACAAAACTTTATCATAAACTAGGTTAGTGGATAATTCGGCAGCAAATGTTATTCTAGAAAAATCAGTGCACAATAATTTTAGAAATCCAAATAATTAGTGAAAAAACTGTTTTGTGGGGAACAAATAAAAATGCTGCACTAAATATGGTAAAATGTTACACATTGCCATGTGTATTAATTATAAAATCCATTCATTAAAAACATTCATGAATGTATTTATATACAAGTATATGCTATTAAATTAAAATACATTTCTTTTAAATGTATAGCATTTTTTTAAGAAGGCAACAACATATGATAGATACGATAGGACAAAACATATACAGTGCAGCACAAACTGTTTTTATACAGTCTATGAGCACGAAGCGCTTACAATGTGTACATCCGGTGCGCAGAATGATGCGCTTGAAGCAACATGGCGTCACAGCCTGTGTTGCTTCAAGCGCATCATTCTGCACACCGGATGCGCACATTGTAAGCGCTTCATGTTAAAAACTGCAAAGCACAAAGGGAAGATAAATTGATGCGTAGTGTATTATATCTGTGCAACAGTTATTGAGCCTTTCTTTTAACGGTTTTAAATTTCAGTTACTGTGCACGTTAAAAACTATTTATAGTCTTTTCTACGCCCGTGTTTTGTTCTCACAGAACAAAGGTAGCAAGTAACAAAACAACATTAAACTCCGGCAAGAAGATAAAGTCCTTTTAGCAAAATCATAGACATGCATTTACAAATCAAGTATAATGGGAACACAGAATGATCTTGGAGAGAGCTTTACCGAGTTGACTGCTGTAACCGAACGCGACCAGGGTTTAAAGGCTGAACGAATGACTGACAGCCACAGCGGAGAAAAGAGTTTGTGTGAACTTTAATGTAAGGTCTTAAATATTCATATGTAGCTCACATTAAGCTATCGTATGGCTTCAGAAGTAACACAGAATAATTTGCACAATCAGGAAAAATTTAAAATAAAACCTCTCGGATTTGGATCGGCCCTCTCTGACCAATACCCGATCCGAGAAAAATGGCACTATCGGAGCCGATACCCCATATGAATATCGGATCGGCGCATCCCTAGTCTAGACGTATAAAGACGGCTTATCATGTGTTCATGTATTAAATGTCTGTCAGCATTAAAAAAGCAGCAACGTTTCTGAACAAGCTGTTTTTGAACATTAGTAGCAATAGATTGTCTTGAGTTTGAAAATTTACAGAAATCTTTTATTTCAAGACAACTACCATACTTCAGGCATGAATTAGCTATGTATACAACAATCAGCATTTACCTGTTGACAAGTTGGTCGAAAAGTAAACTCTGATTGAGGTGTTCGAACTGGGACTTCCTGATGCGACGGCTTCTCTTGAGCTCAACATGACCGTTCATGCGACCGTGGTTCCCATCTGATGTAGAATCACCCCTCAGACTCATTCGACCTATGGGTTAAAAAAAAGGAGTTACTAAAACCATTACCTAATGATGAAGAATAACATCATAATGACATCAAAACTGATGTGAATCAATTTCTTTGTGTGTACTGTTGCGCCTATTAGTTTAGATTTTTCCGTGAGTCAGATAACATTAGGCTGCACGAGCCTCAACTGACACAACCTTGATACTGTCAAAACATTATAGGTTATCAGTCACCGTTTACTCTGAAAATAATAAAATCAGAATCATTCTCACCAAAGTTTCGGTGCTGCCCTAGTTATTGTTTGTTACTGATGTTTTAATCAGGTTACTTGTCCGGTCAGGCAAGTAAAAAATTCTCTTTCACTTGCCCCTTCACAAAATCCACTTGTCCGGGGACAAGCGTTAATGTCGAGCCCTGTGATATTATCTGACATATTTTTTCCATCAATAACTTATACATAATACATAACTGTATGTATACATAGGTGACCAAATTTCCATTCTATCAATTTCTGTTGTTTTTATGCTTTTTTTATAAATTTTTTTTAACTAAAGCTTAAAAAAGGCAGCATATTTAATTTGAGGGTTACAGATATAAAGTGTTAATCCTTACAGTATTACATTAAGTTCTCTTTCGTTGTCTTAAGTTACCATAAACGGCTAGGAAAGAAATCTGATGCGTGTCAAAATATTGTAATTTTTGGGTGAACTCTTCATTTCAGGAATCATTAAGTAAATCAAAATAAATAATATACTCTTACTGTGTCCATTCTGCAAGGCACCAGTGGACAACCTGGAAGACAATGTGAAATTCCATATTCATTTCAAATAATAATACTTCTTCTTTTAGCACATAAATAAGAAACAAACATTTAAAGAATTTTCTCTGAATCTAGAGAAAATAACTGTAATTGTTTCTATGCGAGTAAAAGCAAACCTAGTCTAAAACCTAATTTCCAACAACACTGAAAATTCCCAAACTCAATCTGAACTGTAAAGTCTCAAGTATTAAGATTAAGCAGATCGGTTAGCAAATGGATCTAAAGCTGCACAATTAATTAAAACAATTATCAGTTTTAAGGCTGATTTATACTTCTGCGTCTGAGCTACGCCGTTGCCTTTACGCCATAGGCTATGCGTCAGTTTTCATTTACACTTCTGCGTCGACGTGCAGTGCACATGCAAACCGCTAGTCTGCCGTGTCCACGGGCATGTTACTGGTGTAACCCACAGTACCACGGCAAAAGCTGAAGAAGCAGCGGCTCGTCGGAGAAGCATTATAGCAGTGACGGCGGCAAATAAACATCAAATCATTAAATCATAATTTAAAACTACAAAATGGAGACATCAACAGAACAGGAGAAGATGGCATTCTTTAAATCTCCACAAGTACTTGTACCATGGCAGATCAACATTGTTTGTCGCGGACAACTACTGATGTATAGGGCTGGGTATCGAGTTCGATACTTTTTAGGCACCGACCGAATTGCCTCGATATCATCGAGTATCGAAAAACATCTCGTCGTTCAGTACCAAATTTCGATACCTAAGGGGTTAATCTCATCAGCGTCAGTGAGCCAATAAGCCTGCAACACACGACAGATCGATCAGTGTTTGACATCCGCGAGAGTGATTCGAAAGCGCACAGAGCAGTCTGCTCTCTTGGTACTGTAATACACCGACCGGTCTGCACAGTTGGTCTGCGTCAAGTCGAACACACCTACTAGTTTACACCGGTTACACTCAGAGATGTGGCGCAAACGTGAGGCTGTAGTGTGAATGCGTCCCAGCCCCCTTAGGTGTAAGGCTACATTTACACTGGCGCGTTTATGTTTTAAAATGAAAATGATCCTCGTCATACTGGCGTTTCAAGCCGGCTTTCCACTATCTCTGACAAGCGACAGACCACTCATTCGGTCATTCATTTCCAATGGAGAGTAGCGCAAGAGCTGCGTGGAGTTCCGATCATATGCAGATGTCCGTTCATACTAATGTTACACGACCGAAAGCGCGTGTTATGTGACCATTCATGCAAACTGTAGCATCATGCTACATAAGGAAATAAATAAGATTTATATTCCATTTTTACTCAAAACTCACTTTAAACCACCATCGAGTGTTTGTAATAACTTCCGATTGCCGTCTAATGTGTGTTTTGGCCATGTATTGTTGCTGAAATTAAATGTTATTACCTCTGACTCGGAGTCAGAGCAGCGATCATGGAAGAGAGAACACAAGCAGACAGCGCTGGAAGCTGCTAACGCTCATCAGTAAATTAGTGGAAAATAAATAGAAATCATTATTCTGTCTGAGCTATGCATTTTAAAACTAGTGTAAATGTAGCCTAACAGATGTGCAAACTGAAGACTATTTGAGCTTTATTAAAACTATTTGCACTGATTTATTCTGTTGGTTACATTTTGTTCCTTTGTGCAGTGGCTCAGGAGACGAGTCTTTGAGTTTGTATAAACATCAACAAGCTGAAAAATAAAACCAAGGCTTTTTTTTTTTAGATAATGTAATCTTGTTCAAATTTATTTCATAAAATTGGTATCGAAAAAAGTATCGTTCAGGAACCGGTATCGAAGTCAAGGTATCAGTATCGATATCGAAACAATTTTAACAATATCCAGCCCTACTGATGTATAATGCTATGTAGTATAATAAATTATAAGACACTTGTTCTTTGCTTTGTTTTATTTTATATAAGAAGGTGTAACATTAAAATATATTAAAGTGCACATAAACACATCAAGTACATACGGAGGGAGGGGTTCTAGCAGACCAATCACAGCGCTTGCGGTCCGCGTAGAATTGACGCGCTGTTAGATTTTTGGAGAGGTGCACGTCAGGCTACGGTGTAGGTTCGACGCAGAAGTATAAATTGGGCTTTAGCATTACAGCTTCTGTGATTAATCTTGAGAATTATTTCAATTAGATCTACTTCTGTTTCTTTCTCAAAATGCTCCATTTAAAATGTACTTTTTGCAATAGTTGAGCATTACAGCCAATCAAGGCCAACAATTCACAAAAAATGTTTTTTTTATTGGTCTTAAGTATTCTAAATTGTTGAGATAGTGAATTGGTGGGTTTTTGTTAAATGTGAGCCAAAATCATCACAATTAAAAGAACCAAAGACTTAAACTACTTCAGTCTGTGTGCATTGAATTTATTTAATACAAGAGTTTCACAATTTGAGTTGAATTACTGAAATAAATGAACTTTTCCACGACATTCTAATTTATTGAGATGCACCTGTACATTGAGTGCATGAATGCAACACCCAATCACAGGCCTTTATATTAGTCTTTTTAGCCAGCCTTATGCACACTACAGACTATCATGATAGCACACTACAATGAGTGCAAAAGAAACATTGCCTGAAACCCAAAAAGAAGTCTTCGAACCAAAGCAAAATTACTGGCAATATGTTAAATGTTATGTTGCTCGCTTGCCATGCAGACGGTGTAAAAAAACTAAATACACTGTAAGCAACACAAAACTAAAATGCAGCCATTATAATCAGCTAAACCTAGACATGATATAAATAAGAGATTTTTCGGAACAGCATTTCTTTGATTACAATGGGATGGGATCATCAAATAAGTATTACTCATGCAGCTCTACATCGATTGTCAAACCTCACCTAGTACAGTGTTTGGACATGGTCCACGGGCCTCTCTGGCCTTTACTCTGGGGACTTGGAGAAGTATCGGTAGAACTTGGTGGCGTCTGTCTGCGTGTCCGCTTGGACGGCGGGGACAAACGTGGACTACTGCTGTTAACATCACTGCTGGGCTCCTTCTGTAACAGACAGAGGTGTGCAGGATATTAAAAAGCTTGAAGGAGCATGCAGAATACACAAAGAGAAATATAATGACAGAAAGTCCACTCTCAAACAAAATCTGCACTAGGGACACTCTGTGCAACATAACAGCTGAGTCCTTGAGCCGCCTAAAAAAAACCTGCGGATTCATGCGACACAGACTTCATCATTCTCTACTGATCCTGCGAGCGACAGACTCATGTCATCTCCTCCCAGATTTCACTCTAACCTCCCTGCTGACTAAATAACTCTGATTAACACATTTACACCACCCTAACACATGTAAGGTGAGAAAATAAAGAAACAGTCTACTGATGAAATCAGGCCAGTGTTATAATACTTCATAACCAATTAATTCCCATGACTTTTCCAGTTGTTTGCAAATTACTGGATAAGAATTTTGTTAAAGCATTCAAAGTCAGAATGAATAGCTAAGGAATCATTTAGAACGACTTGTGAATCGGTTTGATGACTCATTCAAAAAAAAATCATCATTCACACATAAATAATACATCATTACATCTTGCAAAAAAGTTACCGTACATGAGCAAAAATTTTTTTTGAAAAATTGATATTTGTTAAAGAATTTATGACTTTTACTATTATTTTTGATTATTCCACACCAGGAAAACACAATTTCAAAAACCTCAAATGCATACTCATTAAAGAAATGTTATAAATTGCATTGAATTCATTGATATTTCCAGGTTTTCAACGACTGTGGGGAAACCTTCATGAAATCAGTCAATCTAACTGAAAGGCTGGAGATAAATTAAATAGTTAGTGACATTACACAAGTACAACATAAAGAATCTTCCGTTAAAACACTGACCAAATTAAACGCCAGACAAGAGGAAAAGCCTAAACCTCTTATGCCAAAAACTTGTGGCAGTGGTATAGGATTTTTTGTTCAAATAACTCCATGAACCTTGACAGCTAGCAAAGAACTATAAGTAAAATGCACACATGTATTGTGGTGGTAATGATGATATCAGATGGCAACAGCATGGAACTTTTTCACTGTGATATATACCACAGTACTGCATACCAGAGTACCATGGTGCATGGTCAAACAGCACTCTAATGTGCAAAACATCAACCTGTGTCAAGAGCCGATTACACACCGCAGCTAAAGTCACACAGAAACACTCGAGTTCAAAGTTTACTTCACAAAAAAAATCACGAACAATAACTGTTTTAAGCCACAAGGGGTCTGTCTCAGCTGAGCTTTTCCCTTCCCCCAACACTAGCTTGTTTTATTGTTGAAGACACGCGGAGGACGAGACGGTTTTCGTCCGACAAAAGGTGTCAAACGCGCTTATGTTTTGACGGTTTATCGGTGTCTCTCGAGCGCAACAAACACACACAGCAACAAAACAACGCTCGATTCGCGTAAGCGAGTCGGTTCAATCGAACTGTTGTTTTCGGTGATCCGATTCACTTGATTTATTTATTTAGTCATTTAACGTTCAAAAGCGCTCCAAGTTCTTTTACAGATAATTTCTTGCTAAATTCTCTCAACGGGTTTGTAATAAAACTATACTCGTTTTACATAAAATGATTAATTTCATATTGGTGTTGTGACTATTACTTGTTTGACAGACACGTTTAAACAGACATTTTTACACCAGCTTGAAAATTATACTGTCAAATATTAAGTTATATATGGTTGTCAGTATTTACTGCAAAAGTTATCCCCTACATTAAAGTGCCGCGCAAACACAGCGAATCGGTTCGCTCGAATCATTCAAAAGAACCGGTTCAACAGAACGATTCGTTCGCGAATTGGAAACCAATATAACAAAGACAACTTGGGGGCACTGAGTCCATTAAACCAGCCGGCCGCCTTCAGTAAAGCCCAGCCATTGTGTGTGTGACAAAACACATAAAACTAAGCGACACGCCGCTGTCGTGTCATTAAACTGCAATTTCTGCAACGCCAAGTATCATTCAAGGCGCAATTTGGGAACAAAAGAGGTGGACAACCATCCGTTTATCTATACATCCATCCATCCATCCATCCATCCATCTCCAAAAGGCCAGAGTGAGCAGCTCGCTAACCGGCTGGCGGAGAGAATAGGCTGCCGGTGTCTCTCTCTTCCTTACACGGCTGCTGTGCTCGTCCAAGTTTGGGTTGCTCCTCTGAGACGACCTCGTCCGGCCCGAGATGAAGGGACTGATGGGCTTGTGCTCCGAGCTCTTTCTGGTGTTCACCATGATTGCTGTCTGTCCCCGCTGATAGACAGATCCTGTCCTGTAGCTCTTGTCAGCTGCTTGCGTTCTGACTGTGTCTCAGCTAGTGGAGTGCCGAGGCGCCATTTCTCTTTCTTTCTCTCTCTCTCTCTCTCTCTCTCCCTCTGCTGTCAGCCAGCCGAAACTCTCCGGCGAGCCACTTCCGCTACAGAAAAAAACGAGACTTCGCGCGCTTCTACGAAGTTGGCGCCACAGAAATTTTGAAAAATAGATTTTTATACAAAAGCTGCGCAAAAGTAATAGAATGCGTTTTTGTTCTTTTAGTTATAGTTACTCTGTTGGTGTTGGCAGTCAACTAATGTTTTAGTACATTTAATTATATATTTGGTGAAGTTGCACAGTGTGTTAATGTGTGTTAATCGTCATTCTAACATTTGATTTAGTAACAAAAAAGTGATCCACGATCTCATACTATGTTTGGACATGCTATGTTCAAAATGTTGAACATGTTAGTAACATGGTATTTGTAAGTACCTTGGACAGTACCGTGGAGTATTATCAAAGCATCATATTACCAGTTTCACTGTACCACTACCACAGTACTTTTTGTTGGGGTTATATTTACACTGTTGTTGGCACAAAAAAAAAGTGAATATGATGTGGTTTAAATGAGACATATTATAGATTGGTAGGTTTAGGTATATGTAAGGTGGGAGGAGTTGGATCTGGATCCAACCACACCCCCTGGATCTTGTGTTCTGCTGTGAGGACCATCTCGCGCCGTGGGTGGAAACTTACAGATTAAGGGGCGGTGATATTATAATGAGATCCCTTTGCAACCAATCAGATGAGCTCATTTTTTCAGGCAGAAAAAGGCTTACCAAAACAAAGTTACTGCCTGGGTTAATCTTTTTCACGTTTCCTTGGTTGGTAGATGCACCGGGGACCTGATTATAGCACTTAAAACCTGGAAAAGTCCGATTTTCATGATATGTCACCTTTCAATACAATTTATTTTAATAATTATTATAATTTAAAAAACTGAAGATGTCAGGGACATTCAAAGGGACTTCCAGAAACGGAAAAGGATGGCGATTATTATCATAAAAAGTCATGGAAAAACCATCTAAATTCTTGGAAAGTCATGTAAGATTGAATGTATGAAGTATGAATTTTTAATACATTTTCATCCCGTACAAATGTACTCTAACATCTTTATTCTAATCAAGTTGTCAGGCAAAATGTAATTTGAGTCATTATAGCAGAGAAGTCATTTCATTTCCAAGTTCAACCAGATGGTTTGACTCTGAGTCAGTGCAGTGCACTTAAAAACACCCTAAATGTGATCATCTTTGGCTTAAAAAAACGTTATTGATAGTGTTAGTGTGTGTGTGTGTGTGTGTGTGTGTGTGTGTGTTACATCCTCCACTAGTGGCACCAAACGGAACTACAACAATAAAGATCATAGGAACTGTGATGTCACTTTGTAGGCAAAAACCCGGAAGCGAGTTAGCATTTTAGCACTTCCAGTTCCATTGTCCCAGAGTCAATGGTTTTTTTGAATGGGAGTTTGGTTAAATACCCTAAAATAAGGTCCGTGGTTCACACAAGCTCAATATACTTTTACATTTTATTCTACGACATAAAACATCAGTTACACCCCACTTGTGATTTTTTAAAACTGTTACGTTTCTTTAAAAAGACGGTTGCTAACAAGTTGCTAAAAGGGACTACAGACGCTGTCGGAGATATTAAATGTCATATCACGCCGAACAGTTTATCAATTTACAGTATATTCCAATTGTAGCATATTTTATTGTACAATTAATTGTAGAATAACCAATTAACTGTTTACTGCATTTTATATTGTTGTTCGACAATGTATTTTTAATTTTTTTTGCTTTGCCCCGAAATGCAACACTTGTCTTTGGATGGAAGAGGATCGTTTTATCGCTTACTGATACGGAGACTCTGGGTTCGGACCACAACGTAAAATAATATGATTATTCCATGTAAACACCACATTTACCGGCTTAGTCACGGTGAAAGTGAAACTTTAATGATGCATAGTGCTTAAAGCCACGATAAAATTAAATGTTTACGGCCACAAGCAGCTGTTAGAAAACATTGAGGGTTTTCTTGAAGCAAGGATAAAATAGCATTCTGTGTACCCATCCTAACAAAACGATAGCTGAAATGTGGTACTTTATTCACTAAAATAAGTTTAATCTTACCATATCCAAAAACTCGCTCACTCTGCTGTTATTTAATAGATTAAATGCACTAGAATTTTATTGAATAGTACATGGAGACGCGTTTTTAATTCAAATATTCATATTAATCAAAGGTTTATTCACTTTTAATGCACCTTATTTCGAAATGTACAGAAATACGTGCTTTCATATGTCCTTTAGTTAGGATTATTTCATTTATTCACTATACTATTTATTACTAATGTCTCATTTCAGTTTTAGTTTGGCTCTAGTTTTGTTTTTAATTCCAGTTTATATGAAAAGGTTCATATAGCGTGGATTAAAATGCATGTACAGAGTAAATCCTTTTCACTGAACTGGTTAAAAATAAGTTTGAAAAGTTGCGGGAAGCATGGTGGTGGTGACGTTGAAGGCGAGCGACTGTGGAGGTGTAGTTCAATTATAGTCTAAGTTTAGCTTTTAGGTTCTGGCGCTATTTCATGAACTATGATTGAACAGAGCTTATTTTTTGCGATAATACAAAAGCCTATGGAAAAATCCCATTGGCTTTTTGACGAGGGAACCAGTGCGATGCTAACAGTCGATCCGCATACAAAGTGATGTCATAGTTCCGCCATAAAGGTTTCCCAGAACATTCCCCGTCTTCCATTGGTCGATGAAACTGATAGCCTCACCCTAAATTCACCCCATTGGCTGAGAGCTTCTTCAAACTTTTCTGATTGGCTAGCACGCGTGGCCGGCCGCTCACTTTATTGGCCGTTTACAAGTTTATAGCTGTCAACTGTGATTTCACAGGTGGACGTTATTTCAGTAATATATGTCAGCTATAGGGTCAGGTGATGTGTGCTATTAAAAATCACTTCTAGAAGCGTTTATCTGTACATAATCCATACAATACATACATAATCTGTACATAATTAACCCATCTCTTTTAGAGAACTACAGACCGGTTTCCCTTCTTCCTTTCATTGCAAAAACACTTGAACGAGCTGTGTTCAACTAAGTCTCTGCCTTTCTCACACAGAACAACCTCCTTGACAGCAACCAGTCTGATTTCAGAAGTGGACATTCAACCGAGACTGCCTTGCTCACAGTTGTTGAAGCCCTAAAACTGGCAAGAGCAGATTCCAAATCTTCAATACTTATCTTACTGGATCTGTCCACTGCTTTTGACATGGTTAACCACCAGATCCTCCTGTCAACTCTATTGGCAAAGGGCATCTCAGGAACCACATTCCAGTGGTTTGAGTCATATCTCTCAGATAGGTCCTTCAAGATATCTTGGAGAGGTGAGGTGTCCAAGTCGCAACATCTAACTACTGGGGTGCCTCAGGGCTCAGTTCTTGGACCACTTCTCTTCTCTGTCTTCATGGCATCACTAGGTTCTGTCATTCAGAAACATGGCTTTTCATATCACTGCTATGCTATTGACACTCAACTCTACCTCTCATTCCATCCTGATGATCCGACGATAGCTGCTCGCATCTCAGCTTGTCTAACAGACATTTCTTGCTGGATGAAGGACCATCACCTTCAACTCAACCTTGCCAAGACAGAACTGCTTGTGATTCCATCAAACCCATCGTTTCATCACAATTTCACCATCCAGTTAGGCACATCAACCATAACTCCTTCAAAAACAGCCAGAAACCTTGGAGTTATGATTGATGATCAGCTGACTTTCTCAGACCACATTGCTAAAACTGCCTGGTCCTGCAGATTTACTTTATTCAACATCAAGAAGATCAGGCTCTTTCTTTC